TGGTTGTACGAGGGCTGGGATACTGCCAGGGCGCCCACACCTAGACAGGAGGACGATTAGGGTCCTCAACCAAAGCCTTTGGCTCAAAAGCCTAAAGGCAGGGCAGCGGTGCTTGGCGGGGAAATGCAAATGCACTACCTTTTCTACGGAACAAGTCGCCATACATGTTCCAACCCCCAACGGACCAGGAGCGCCACACCACGATAACAGTCAGTCTCTTCGTGTCGGAGTCGAAATGCAAACTGGCATTGAAGACCTAGAATACAGACACTGGAACTCCTTCGTCCTTTGTACATAAATGTTGCAAACTGGCATTGAAGACCTAGAATACAGACACTGGAACTCCTTCGTCCTTTGGATGTACATAAATGTTCACCTTCGTTCAAACATCAAAGGGCTTCGGATCCTAACGCTCCGCACTCGTTTAATACAAAGATAGACATGAAGTACTCAGGCAGTGCCAACCTCACTTAACTGTATTGATTAGGGACGGCGTCCCGAATAACTGGAGCCGGTCAACAGCTTCATCAGTCATCATTCAGCTGTAACATCCTTCCAGTGTCTAGCTGCCACGTCCAGCTGTAGCACCCAAGCCTAGACAAGTCGAGATGCAGAAGTTGGGCTCGAACCACTGATCCAGCTCGCCTCCCATGCTGCATTGTAGCGCGTTTGACCTCAGAGTTCTTCGTGTCTGTGCTAATGGATGTTTTTCAGACTTTCCTGTCGAGTGTACGTTTCTCCGAGGTTTTCCAACCGACCTAAAGCCTGAAAACTGAATTTGGGGCGCTCTCGATTTCGAACTCCATTGCTCGGCCGACCCGTGTGCGAGTTTCAGGAATCCGTTTCAAGTGGTCTAAACAGGGTATTTTCATCAAACTTCTTTAACTCCAAAGGCATCCACTCTGCAACGGACTTCGGTGTTCTGTGTGTACACTTGATCCCAGTGATTTCGCACCGATAATGCAAGTAAAACCAGTGGAGAACTGGAGTGTGTTGTCTGTGTGGCGTCCAAGTTTCGCTGCCGTACAACAATGAAGACTATTCAACGGTTCGACACGCCGAAATTTGTATCCATCCATAAATGACGACTGCTCCACACGCGTTTCTCAAGGCGGTCGAACCGTGGAGTACCTCAAACAAGAATACAGGATGCAAGCACTGCAACTGAACTGATTGCCCCCTCGCTCTATTCCAGGTTCCGGCTGCGAACCACGGGTGATTCAGATGCTACTGCAGCTGGATATGCCTGCGTGGGTAACGCCTTGAGCTACCGAGCGGAAGCGTCTCTACGTGAATGAATACCCGTTGATAATCACCTCTGCGCAGTTTGTTTTGCAACGTCTGTGAAGGAATTTCGAGGTGAGGTTTATTGTATCTGGTTACGACCCCAAGCAATTTAGCCCTGGATCGTTCTATGACACGTTCTATGACGCTCTAGGTGCTCTTTTACAACAGGCTAAAATCGTTGTTGTTGGACGGTCAGGTCCTAACGAAAAATTCTACCTTTTGTAATATTTCACTGGGATTTCATTTTCTCTGTTGTAGTCAACTAAGCCGCAGCGCTCTTTTTTTCCATTGGTTCATCTGCAATATAGCCGATCTTCATCCGGTATTCTGTCTTCTTCCTTGAAGTTTTCGCACTCGAGTAACTAGACTATCAACGTGATAAAATAAATTCCACTAAGCTCCTAAATCACCCAGCTAGCACATAGACACAACACTGGCGACCGGGATGTGATGGCCGAATGGTTAAGGCAGTGGGTTGGCCATCCATTGGGCGCTGCGGCTCAGTTGGCCACAATAGAGACAAAAAGAAATCTCAGTAAAATATTACAAAATGCAGAATTGTGGTTAGGACCTGACCGTCCTACCAGTTGTGACTGGAGGTGACATGGACGCCAAACTGCTGTTGGGGTCCAACTGGGTGGTCTGACGGGGTTGGATACGAAAAACATGGACAACGCAAATCGTCCAATTCAGATATGTGCCAATCACAGACTGTTCCTTTGCAGCACCAAGTTCCGGAACAGCTGATGACATTTGGCCACGCTGAATTTACCAACCAACTAGTCCCGAATCCAAATTGACTACATTTCCATCAGTTTCCGGTGGAGAGGGTCAATCACTGCCTGTCGCTCCTTCATACTAACGTATCTCAGTAAAATATTACAAAATGCAGAATTGTGGTTAGGACCTGACCGTCCTACCAGTTGTGACTGGAGGTGACATGGACGCCAAACTGCTGTTGGGGTCCAACTGGGTGGTCTGACGGGGTTGGATACGAAAAACATGGACAACGCAAATCGTCCAATTCAGATATGTGCCAATCACAGACTGTTCCTTTGCAGCACCAAGTTCCGGAACAGCTGATGACATTTGGCCACGCTGAATTTACCAACCAACTAGTCCCGAATCCAAATTGACTACATTTCCATCAGTTTCCGGTGGAGAGGGTCAATCACTGCCTGTCGCTCCTTCTGGAATACTAACGTGGACTCCGACCATGCGCTTGTGCACTGCTGTTTTTCACTGCACTTTTCAGGTCTACGCAAAACGTTCACATCTTGCGAGATGGCCGAAGTGGTTAGAGCGCGAATTTACTGACCGGAAGATCCGTGGTTCGAATCCGACCTCCGCCTCTCGACTTCCCCTGTCTAGGCTTGGGTAACCTGACAGTATCCCAGCCCTCGTGCCTCCTATGCGTGGCATGGCAGTTAGGCGCCGAAAGGGTGCTACAGCTGAACGATTTTTTTCCGTGGACCCGGAAATCAAGCGAGACTTACAAAACCTATTTCTCAAACACCTGCCAGGCAGTACTATGGCGGATATTAACGGCCACTTCTCGACTTCCCCTGTCTAGGCTTGGGCAACCTGACAGTATCCCAGCCCTCGTGCCTCCTATGCGTGGCATGGCAGTTAGGCGCCGAAAGGGTGCTACAGCTGAACGATTTTTTTCCGTGGACCCGGAAATCAAGCGAGACTTAAAAAACCTATTTCTCAAATGCCAGCCAGGCAGTACTATGGCGGATATTAACGGCCACTGGGAACAGATATCCACAGCGCTACTCAGCCGGAACTACTGTTTGAAGTGCAACCCAGCCAACCTCACCCAAACATTGAATATCTGATGAGGACGTTGCTCTTCTGGGAACCCGGTGAGAGAATCCTCCTGACCGCAACTCAACCAAACGAATCCAACGCCAGGTAAAACTGAGTGTCTGAGCAGACCGCGGAGCTTGGTGGACCAGAAAGCCCGAAGTAATGGAAAAGACAAAAATACTGAAAACGTGTGCAGGCTGTTCCACTTGATTTGTTCACCTTGTCCCCGGAAGCCTCTTGTCAGAGAAACTAACATGGTCCAGAATCGCTCTCTGATATCCAACCGAGGAGAACGTTTAGACCGATGGGTACAATACTTCGAACACCAAGTCAGTTGGCCACCTGCTACCTCCAATCCGGACTGCCGGCCTTGAACAGAAAGGTATACTCTGAACATGCAACCCTCTCAGCTTCAGAAGTGTCCTAGTGTATATCTCTACACAAGCGCCATCGTGCTGCTGGCACTGACGACCTTCTACCAGCCCCATTCAAGGGTGGCGGTGAAGTCCCATTTGGTGCTTGTCTAGCCTGTGTCTTTACCTGGGGGAAACAGACCGTTCCAAATAACAAAAGCCTGCTTGGCTGTCTGTAAAGTTCGCACGCTAAAGCAAGCAAGAGAACCGGTGGCTCTTGCCCACACACTGGATTCACCCTGCATTGAAGTATGCTGTCTGTCAGAAACAAGGATCCAGGAAGTAATCACGGTAATTGAACTGACTACCCCCCTCGCACTCTTCGCGCTTTGGACGGCGCGCCTCTGGTGACGACAACAATCCACTGCAACTCCGAACTCAAACAGTCAATGTTGGCACCAACTACCGGTGACGACGATCGAGCACTGCTTGTTACCCCTTCGAGAAAATCGGCGTGCACTTCAATCACGCACTTGTCAGTTACTGACTTTCATTACCCTTTTCAGGTCTACGCAAAACATGCACACATCGCTAGGAAACTGAGAAGCGAAATCAAACAAGTTTATCGGAGCCTACTTCCCGAAGTCTCACCACCGATAAGACGTCGTTACTCAGACCTAGTTGAAAGATGGCTAGCCCCGGCTAGCTATAACTGTGTCCGAAGGATGCGTTTCATGAGTAGTGGGTGTTACAAGACACCCCTTTGCATGCATTGTGGGGATCAAATGTCCAGTTGTACGCATGAGCTAGCAATTACCGGTCACCAGTTTATTATACAGTCTTCTCCAACCTCCAGTTTGAATCGCTCGGACTCGCACCTGGTATTTAGGGAATTCAGATGAGTCAGCGTATGCCTTAGTGTAAACCATGTAGGGCAGTACCCACAGTTCTCCGGTGCCTTTCGGGGTAGCTCGAAGTGAAAGGCCAATCCCTAAACGGATGCCAGCCCACCATACATGAATATGTTAGATTTCATAGGGTGAAAAGAAGAGAGGTGACCTCCTATATGGTCAAACGAGTCGGAACCGAATATCCTTGAGACAAGCACCTGGACGAAAAACCAGTTTCTAAGTATTCTCTCATCTTGACCTGGAAGACCAAGAAAATGTATTCGTCTGACAGTGATCGAATAATTCACTTGGCACGACAGACTGCGTGGCACCTGTGGTCTCCACTAAGTGTAGCTCAATGAGTTGTTGATGTACGCAAATCAACACACCTTAAGGCCGAAGGTGTCAATAAAGAATACCCTGCCGGTAGGTATGGACTGCATTCCGTCCACATTCAGTATAGAAGATGAGTTTAGGCTCACAGACCACTTCTGGACGGCGGTATGTGTCACGCGCAGCTTATGCTGCCAGGTACCAAAGATATACATTTTGATTTGAGCAAAATATATGGTGGGCTTTTTGTTTTGAGCGATTTAACACGGGTTTTTCAAAGTGACCTGATGTAATGGAGTACTTGTGTGTAAATGTGTATTTGGACCATAAGGGACACAAGCATACGATGCACCGTATCTGGTAAACGGCGATTAAATGTGCTGCCAAGTAGCCTGAGTAGGTTCTATACATCAAATCCTGAAGCTGCATATTGAAGTGTCAAACGACCGAGATAAGTATTCCCACAAGTTCACATCTGGTAGTTTTCTGGTCCCCTCCAGGATTCATTGGAGACTGCATTTAACGTTTCTCCTGGCTAGGTGTATGGACACTTCTGCTAGCAGAGAAACTGAATTCTGACCACTCGACGAATGCTGTACTGCACGTAATGCACAAACGTTCCGAGTGGAAGTTACCGTGCTTGGCGCAGTCAATTCGAGCCTCGAGAAAATCTTGGGTAACGTCATCCGCAAAAGATGACTTCCGAGCACTAAAGACACTCGAAAACTGGTTGTTTCGAGTTGAAGACTGCAAACAAACGGTGATTGTGACATCATTAAGGCGCTCTTACGAGTAATTTGATCACGAAAGAATTACTACAAACCCTGCAAAGTGACCAACCGAGATGTGTTTCAACAACACCATAAAATAATGCTCACCCCAATGGAATATTTTCTTTCATCGTAAAGTTTGTACACGTCATCGTAAACCCGCATTGAATCCGAGGGAATAGAGGCCAGTGTATGAGAAAAATACATACAATCCGACGCTAATAAGCGAGACAATTCCAAGTTCTTTGGATTTCGGGCGAGTAATTCAATGGCAACCGCAACGCTCCATAATGTTGTTTCTTGGTGAGGGTAAACCAGACAGCCATCACCAATGTAAACTGTGCTGCATGAACTCCACTTCTTAAGAGGAATGCTACTGGAAGAACGTTTTCCTGAACTTCGACAGATGTCATGAAACCGAGAAACCTGAAGGGATAATGCACAGAATTGCATTTACCTGTCCAGCAGATGAAGAATAATCTGGCGCGGATTCTCCGTGTCTCATGGGGGCTTTTTAAGAAGGCGTTTATAGAATTGACATCTTACTTGCGGATGCTGTGACGAACAAGGCGCGCTGCGACGCGTTAAAGGATGGGTCGAATTCCTCATCTGAATTAGAATGAAACAAACTGGAAGTAAAATAAGGATACCTGCAGGTTCACGCTCGCTGATATGCTGCGTTACTCCAGGATGCACTTGTATATTTGTCGATATCGAGAGATAGGGGGGACCAGAAACCGTACCAAAACTGTCCTCAGGGAGCCAAACATCATTGTGGAACACAGCTCCTGCATTTTGGTAACTAAAATTGGCCTTGTCAAGATTGTTGACCGACAGTCTCTCGATGGAATCATCGAGAGGCGACCACTTTTGGCGACAACAAGCTATCTGGTTGCCCATAACAGCGACAATAGCTCGGAATCATCACCGTGTCCGACACCGAAGGCGGCAAATGCTGTATGCACAGCCCGGCAGTGTCCCACTTGATTGGTTGATTTATCCAACGCGCATTTTCCGAGTTCAAGGGTAGTATCACGAAGTCATGGATTCACGGATTCAGGGATTGATACACAGGATCGCGGCTTTTGCCCAAGTTTCCCCGGTCGGTTTTATTCTTGTCGTTCAGCGACTGTCGTTCACCTGGAAGGCACAAGTGAAAAAATGGTGTAGCACTGCTCTTCAGGTTCTCAGCGCGGGGCAGTATCCATGCCAGCGCGAGGATTAGCATAGATAAATGTCTAAGAGTGCTTTAACCTGGGTTTTAGAAGGAACGTGGACAACCGCCGGTGGAAGGTAATTCCATGCAGCTACTACCCGAAGTGAGGAGAAATTTCGCTTACTGAATATGTGCGCTCATATTTTGAAAATCTTCATACTATGCCCCCGCCGTGTGGTTGCTGGATCGACGGTGAAAATGTTATTGGCCAAAATTTGTTCAAACAGGGCACAATTAAGAATTAGGTTCCCTCGGAAGCGACGATACTTCAGCGGAAGTAGATCAAGCATTGCGAGATGGGTTTCGTAGTCCACGGATTTGAGGCCGGAAACCATTCTTGTAGCGACTCGCTGGACATGTTCAATGAGGGTGACGCCTTTCGTGTGTCCTGAGAAGACAACTTGGCTGGCGTACTCCAGGAGCGCTCTGGCGTAGGCCTCATAGAGTATTTGGAAGTCCATGCGAGTAGTACAAGATTTCAAGTCGTCCGGAAAAAGTAGACATGGACCTGCAAGAACATCTGGAAGGTCGTTCACGTAGATTAGAAACAGGAGTGGTCCCAGAACGGAGCCTTGAGGAACTCCAATGGAGACCGGCACCGGAGAAGAATAAGTATAACCTACCTCCACTCGGAATGATCTGTTTGATAGGAGCGCCTTGATCCAGTGAAGGCTTTTCTCTCGAATCCCGTAGGACTCGAGTTTGTGGAGCAGCGGGACATGTGGGACCCCATCAAATGCTTTTGAGAAGTCGAAAAATATGGCATCCGATATGAGTCCTTCGTCCCTGGGTTGAGTTAAGCTGTCCATAAACACGGGCATATTTGTTACGGAAGAGCTGTTTTGGAGAAATCCGTGTTGAGCTAGAAATATCAGGTTGCTTGAAGTAAGGTGACCTAGGGTAGCTCGCTTCAGAATGCGTTCCATAACCTTGCATGGCACGCTAGTGAGGCTCATGGCCTGTAGCTGCCAGGCGACAGTCGTTCACCAGTTTTGTAGATTGGCGTGACAATCGCTTCCTTCCAAGCAAAGGGAAGGCGGCCTTCGTCAAGCGACTCGCGAAACGCCAAGTATAAATGATTTGCCGGTGTGGACGACGTTTCCTTCAAGGTCCTTGCATGAACCTCGTCGGGCCCCAACTCGCAGAATGCGTTAATCTTGTGCAAGAGTTGACGAATGTCCTCCCCCGTGAAGACCAAGTAGGTTAGAGGCTGTTACTAGTTACGCCTTGACAAGAGTGAATGTGACGAGGACGCTGGACCTGAAAACAGACCTGCATATTGTTCTCTGTAAACCTCAAATACCAATTTTTCGGTCACTTGTGGGTTCTCGATTCCTGTCCCTTTAGGAGGCTCGCTGGTGGCTTGTTTCTGCGGCGATTTCTCATGTACTTGAACAGTAAGTTTTTGTTTTTTCGAGCGAGGTCCAGAATGGTGACTTGTTTTCGTATGTTCCATTGGCGGATTTCTGATTTACAGCAGTTCAGCACTTTACGAAATGCCAGCTCATCTTCTGTGTCCCCTGTAGTCGAGTCTTTGGAAAAAGTTAGGACCTTTTTTCCAGAACTCGCCTAATCCTTTTTGGCCACCTGCGGCTCACCCGAGCGCGTGCTTTTTTGGAACGAACATTACGCCAGCCTCATGAATTTTCCGTACAATGGTCTTATATGACTCTTCCACTGGAGCTGCTCCCAGTGTCACTTGTTCAAGAAAGACGCGCATTCTTGAAAAGTGTGCACGGCAGAAGTCTCGAAACCACGTTTGAGGTTCGGGATTCCTGGCCCAATAGCAGATGAAATCAAAGGTCAGCACACAGTGGTCGCTATGTCCCAGTGGAGCGTCAATTGTTACCTGATCAACGAAGTGTCTTTCGTTGGTGATGACCAAATCCAGGAGGGATGGTAGTTGGCCTGCACGGTATCTGATGGGTGCGACGACATGTTGAGTCCAAGCGATCTTTTGAGCGGCTTCAACCAGCGCCACTGCAAAAAGTCCGCTTGATTCGACGCGCTGAAGCTCGATCCAGGAGGCCTTTTGAGCGCTGAACTCACCTACCAGCAGGAAATGAGGGAAGTTGTAGCTGGAGGGGGTTGCTCAAGGGTTCGCATGAGGAATTGGTCATCTTCAGGAGGTTTCGAGGAGCTGCGGTAGACCACACCGAGAAGAAGAGAATCGGACTCACGAAGCGAAATCTGGACCCACAGTGCATTGCAAAAAGGTGCATATGTGGTATCGGAGGGGACAATCGGGATTGGTAGGGGCGCATATAAGTACAGAGCAACCTAACCAGCCGTCCCTCGTTTTGAGTCAGCTCGAAAACCAGAGTAGCCGTCTATCGAGATCACCGCATCAAAGACCTCTTGTGTCAGCCAGATCTCTGTGGGTGCGATTATAGACTGTTGTTCAAGGTAAGCTGACTTTTTGTCCTTGCTGAGTTTGTGGAAAAGGCTGAGGCAGTTTGTGAACAAGCATTTCAGCACTCTCTTCTGGGATCAAGGCTTCCGAACAACTTACTCGGGTCCAGCGGCTTCGTTCACCCGAGAAGCACAATTCTGGCCTCTGGCTATGCGCACAATGGGATTGATTTCTCGAAATCTACGGCGTTTTCAGGCTTGACACTTCATAATGTATAATGTCTATGTATAATTTATGCGGTCCTGTATTATTGAAAATCATCTACCATGGCGATTTGTTTAAGTAAGCGGATGCCCAAAGTCAATAAACACCACCGACCATGAATACGTTGCCTGGTGATAAAAAATCGCGAATTGTGGAAAAGGTTGACTCACTTGCAATAAACGCAACTTTCAGATAGTTTTCCACCGGAAGAAATTTCCTGAACATCCTAGAATCTAAATGGCCTTTGGAGATGCAAAATATGCGTAGTTGCATTCGTGCAAGCAAATATTGGTCGACTTTTCCCATTGCCAGTTAAAATTCCGTAGTCCACGTTAAGTATTTGCTAAAAGTCATGCACGTTTGCTGGCAAAAGGCAGAGTTTTCCATTATAGGTTGCGAATTATGCTAAGAAGTCCTCGAGGTTTATCGATTAAGAACATGGAACATACGTCAATCATAGCGGACAGCTGAACGGAACTAACCGACGCACATGACTAACTTGCGGCTAGGGGTACACGATGCCTAACTAACCAGCAACACAGAACATACGTCAATCACACCAGACAGCTCAACGAGCCTAACCGACGCACATGACTAACATGCGGCCAGGGGTACACGATGCCTAACTAACTAGGCACATAGAACCTACGTCGATCATACCGGATAGCTGAACGAACCTAACCGACGCACATGACTAAGACGCGGATAGGGGTACACGATGCCGGAGCGCACCCATCCATCTGCACCGGAGAAAAGGCTCAAAATGGACGTCATTAAATGTTGAGATATATTGGTCGTTTTGAAGTGTACATATGTCCTTCTGTGAGGCGAATTTTCTTCTTCGTGAGGAGTGTTCATTTGACCGCTGAAGTGTTGAAATGAGAGGAAGATATAATTCAGGTTATCGGAATATCATCATAAGGCGGGCGGCCGACAAACTGGTAGAGATACTTACCCCAAAATTTACTTCAGCGACCATGTTGTCGTAGATGCCTGTTCACATAATGCCACCTTCAGCGGTTATTTCGCATGCCTGTTTACTGTACCTCTCAAGAAATACGAGACTTACATGAAATGCATAGGGCCTCACTAACGGACAAACTTTGGAGATGAGTCACTTGAAGTCATCTTCGTCTCTTTCATCTAGCTGACGCTCTGCAGAGTTATTCGTAGTTGTCAGACATTTACTCACGGCTGTCGAGTAGTCCCCCTCTGGACCCAAAAACACGGACGCACACAGACTTCCGTGACACACTGTGCTGAGACTTTGTGCTTCGGTCCAGGTCAACCTCATAAGACGCCCTCTTTGCGGACCGGGTAGCAAGCATACCTCTGCGTTTTCTGGGTGGGCCCGGAGCTAAGAACCAAAAGTAATTTATTTTCATGTGGACTCACTTTTGGGACAAGCCTGGAGATCACCACCACACAGTGGGCAAGGTTCACCATCACAACAGTCGGCGTGATACGACACGCGATCTGTTGCACACCAGCGGTCATTGGTAGTAGTCGGCCGGTCACAGAGCACACAAAGGCCCAAGTCGGCGTTCCAAGGTAGCCATCTGGGTTGAGGTACAGTGTCCTCGACTACCAACTGCAGGTCGTTGGCTGGCACACAAGTACGCATCCGGTCTCCCGAAGTTTTGCCATACTAAAACCCAACTATGCGGTACCTACTCAACATAGTCGGCCGACACTTCCGGCGGTAGTTGTGTATGTCATTAGTGGTAAGAATCTCGCCGGATTCATCCGCCACAAACTGCCGCACCTCACACAAGGGCGTTCCATATTTCTGAAGGGCCTTGCAGGTGCCCAACTCGTCTTCGGTTAGCCGTCGATTAACGGGAAGTCGGTCGTATAGAAACTTTGACAACCTATGGCTGTGTTCAAGAAAATAAGGAGTGACTGCCAGTTGGTCCCTTTTACCTCCGTAGACGAAACCGCACTGGATAGCTGGTGCTCCGCGTACTTTTTTATTAGTGAATACGCTCGGCTTACTAGCTTCTTCATATTCCTCGGCTTTACATTGGTCTTAAAGGGCGCCTGCTGCATTTGTAGTACACCTATCCGTAACGCAAAACAGCGTTGGTGTTTCGATTACTGGATGAACGCACAAATACCACAGAGTTATCCTTCATGTATTGACTTAAAATC